CTCTAACATTCTGTGATTCTGTGATCAAAAACAGAGGGGCTGCAAGAAAGGAAATAAAGTCTGAAGCCAACTTCCTACATAACCTGCACAGACACATGATCATACAGCAGTGTCTGCTGTTGCTCTGCAGGAAACACGTAACTTGCTGTCTGTCTTGAAGGTGCTCAAGCTGTGAAGCTCCATGTCAAGTCATTTGGAGGGCTGGCTTACATGGGATTCTCACATGGTATTCATGTCATGAACCTTAACATCGTACAGGCTGGTACTGCTTCCAACACCGACTAAAATGAATATTAGTACATCTAGTCTGTCTCTTCTGCAACTCTTAATCTAAAAGATCTATGTAGTTTACCTCTAGAAGAGTGAGCAAGTGGATTGCTCATTCTGTGAGATGTTGTAAACTTGCTACTCTAAAAGCTGTATCAGTCTGTTGCTGCACCTGTACAGCACACTGGAAGGCTGTCTTCAATCTTCCTGTGAGAGTGCTTTTTCCAAATGGGTAAAGAAACTTGATTTCTTTCTTCAATTACAACTTAGAAGAGAGGAGACTTCAGTCTAATGTTGGAGTTGGGGTGGGGCAAGATGTCTTTAGGCTTAGTAATATAGGGTACATCTAGGTCACTAGGTTTAAATCGAGAACTAAGTGAACGTCATCAAACATCATGCTACTTTGGAGCTGTTTGGTATTGCCAGTTCATATGAACAGGTTAGTTTTTTTAGGATGCAGTGCTGTGCTAACAGCTACCATTGTTTCTGGTATTCTCTGCAGTAGAAGGGAGTCAACAGCATAAAAGCTACCTTCCTATGACAATTTGTAGGAAATCTTGAGTCTTAGCTATTACTCCTAATTTGTGCTGAACTCTCCTTTGCATTTTAGAAGACATTATTTCAGAAATAGTATTGAACAAGTCCTACAGTTTTTTAAAAGCTTTGGGGGTGTCTGAGCTCTCATGTTAAAACAAGATAGCTGATAACTGTCTTGTCAGAATCAAACACCTGATCTAATTGTGTCAGAGAAGTGAATGCTGGGCTCTTTGAGTTTAGTATGAATTGTGTTTGTGTGTTAGTTACTTATTTCAGACTGAGTTGCTAGTAGCACTAATTAATACCCTGATTTAAATCTGGGTTTTGGTTTGTTGTATTGTGGTTTGTTTTTTTTTTTTAACAGGTGCATATAGTGTCCTGGTCATAGTTTTAGGAAGAGCATTTGGCAAAGTTAAGAATACTGATCTCAGGGTTTGAGGGAACCACTTTTTTTTGTAATGGTAATGTCAGGTAATTTGGGGTTGTCTTTGGAATATGAATTTGTGGAGTTGATATTTTTTGCTTGGAGGCTGTATGTGATTGTAGTTAAACAGATAGGAGTGTAGATATTAACTGGTTATGAACAAGCATCAGAAGAATCCTCTGAGCAGTTGCTAAAAAGCAGTATGTTCTTGTCTGTGTTCTGCTCTAGCAGAATGGGAGTATCTCCACTGTTGGCACAAGTCATGCGCAACTTGCCTTGGCTTGCTTGCGGAAACAAGTGTCAGACTGAAGAAAAATCTTCAAGTCTTCACCTTGTTAGCTTCTTAAAGCTCTTCTGCCTTCCGAGGTTCTAGTCTACAGTATTCTGCACTCAGAATCTAGTCTGTTTTGCTGTAATGGCCAGAACTCGGGAAGCATTCAGAATTGTTGATTTCATGGTACAATGCCCAAAATACAAATGGAATTTTGAAGATGTCTTCATAAGTATTTTAATTTTATTAATTTGCCACACCTCAGTTTTTTGCCAGTTTTTACATGAAGCCCTGTGTGCATAGTGTATAAATCTTTTCTAACCTTAAGGATTTTTGGCATCTCTTTTGTGGTCAGGAGCACACTAAACATTCAAAGTTAAAATTTACCATAAGAAGTTAAACATCTCAGATACTACTGAGCTACTTTCCAAAACTGATTTGTACAGCATGTTCTGAAGACTGTGCATCTTCACTACTTTTGGGAACTTTTTTTTGTCTTTCTCACTCCATGTTGTGGGATAAATTAAGTGACTTAACAGTCTGCATGCCTTCAAGGGCAAATAACTGCAGTGTTGTTGCACATGTTGCAGTTGCTTCTTCACCTATTGCAGTTTGAATGTATTGAGTATAATGTTAATTATACACAAATATATTCAGTTTCTTTGCAGTTAAGAATATGATGATCCTATTTCTTTTTGCAGATGTGGGGGTACTGTTGGTGCAATTCTGACATGTCCACTGGAAGTTGTGAAAACACGATTGCAGTCCTCCTCTGTGACTCTCTACGTTTCTGAAGTCCATCTCAACACTGTGGATGGTGCTGGCATCAATCGAGTAACTAGAGTTTCTCCTGGACCTCTCCATTGTTTGAAGTGAGTGTACATGTTACTAGGTTTTCAGTTCATTTTGAGGGAGGGAAGAGGAGAGAGGTGTGTTGGACAAATCTGCGTGAAAGATTCAGATGCTTGTGTCTGTTATGATGTTACCGTGATATGACTTTCTATATTTTGCCTTTTAACTGTAATTAGGTTTGACATTCCATTTCGCCCCATGTCCTTTGTGCTTGAGCTTGTACCTTGAATTTCCAGGACATACACTGTATAATCCACAGCTCCAAACTATGTCCCCAAAACACACTGGGAGTACTGTAATGCTCAAGTGCCAGTTTTGTGTCCAAATCATAGGTGTTGCTGAATATGGAGGCGAGAAGCCCGATCAAAATTAACTCATCTTCTTAGTCTCAGCTATTGCCACTCCACACCCTTGCCTTTCAGTATCTTCTGATGGATGTGTGACTATAACACTTTTTTAGAGCTGGTAAGAGATAGGTAAGGCTGGATTTTGCCATGATGTGGGATGTCTTGTTTGCATAGCACCGCACTGAATGGGGTCTACCTTTCCTCACCTTGCCAGCAGTGCTTGTGATGTTCAGTAGCCAGCAGAAAAGTTGTGTAGCCAGAGTTAGACTTCTAGCACAGACCACAGACAGGGTTCACTTCACTCTGAGGGACTCAAGTTAGCCAGTTATAGGGAGGTACCTTCAGTATTTGAGTATGAGAGGGGAGGTTTTTCTCCAGGAAGGACCTACTACTGCTTCTTGCATTAGAAATAATTTGAAAAGACTCAGACTGACTATCTTCTATCCCAAATTAATCAGTGAGAAACAGCTTGTAGAGAGCCCCTTCTGGCAGTTGCAGTAGGATTTAGGCTTAATCTGGTTAGAGGGTAGGATTTGCTTAAATAGGAGTTGTACCCAATTAGCTTCTTAAATGGAAGATAGTTCTTATTCTGGAAGTTTTGATTTGGATCCTTTTTAGATACGAGTCTGATGGGTGAACATGTTGGGAACAGGTATGTGCATAGGAAGGGTTCAGATTGTGACAAGGAGGGAGAGCTCCATCCAAAACATTTGCTTTACTGGCTTCTCTTGGTGGAAGTTGAGCCCTTCAGCTTCTTCCCTGAATGTCTGGTTATGAATTTGTCTTCTATTTAGAAATGTACTGAATAGATAGCAGGATGAACAGATGTTTGTTTCACACGCCCTTCTGCTAGAAGCCTGCTATGCTTTAAACCCATCCCTAAAACGTGAAATAACTTGATCTTCCCAAGAAGCAAATTCAGACTGAGGTAGAGGTAGTCCGTGATGAACTTCATTGTTTGAGCTTGTTTTGTTTTAATCTAGTTCTTAGATAAGTATGTGTCTGTGATACAGTAATGTATATCTTCTTCTGCTTTTGTTCTTTGCTTAGATGTGTCGTCTTCCAGGTCAGTATCAAAGAACTGAGATGCCAAGTAACTTTTGAGTTTCAGGTTCCTTTAAATACAGTAAACATTAAAAAAATCCCTAATGGCAGTGAACTGACAATAAAATTACTTAGGTGCAGGACATAATGTTTTTTAGTGTCTGCTGGTTAAGGGACTAAGACTGTTTAGTGGGGAAATCAAACTGGACCTCTCTGTTGCTCTGTATTGGGGCTGGCTGGGATGGAGTTGATTTTTCCCTGTAGAAGCACTTGTAGCTCTGTACTCTGTGTTGGGAGCTGGAAAGCTGTTGATAACACACCAGTATTTTGGCTACTGCTGAGCGGTGACCACACATTATCAAGGCTGTCTCTTCAACATTCCCCCCTCACCAGTGGGCTGGGAGTGGGCAAGATCTTGGGAGGGGGCATAGCCAGGACAGCTGACCCCAACTGACCAAAGGGGTATACCAAACTATATGACATCTGCTCAGCAATGAAAGCTAAGAGAAGGGAGGAGAGGAGGCATTCCTTTCTACAGTGTTTTTCTTGTGGAGCAGCAACTATGTGTACTGAGGCCCTGCTTCCTGGGAAGTGGCCAAACATCATCAACTGATGGGAAATAGCAAATATTTTGTTTTCCTTTGCTTCTACACGTGGTCTTGCCTTTTGCTTTATTAAACTGACATTATCTTGACCCACGAGTTTTTTTTCCACGTTATTTTCTCCCTACTTTGTCCTGCTGAGAAGGGGAGTGATAGAGCAACTTGGTGGGCACCTGGCATCTGGCCAAGGTTAACCCACCACTCATTCTCATGCCCTTACTGTTGCTTGATATTTTGACTCACAGGTGTCAGGGTTTGGTTGCCTCTTCTCATACCAAATTTGGTGCAGTGCTCCAAGGCTCACAATATTCAGGCTAAAAGCAGGATGAATCAGGCAAATGATGTCAGAATTTCAGTTCACTGCTGTGGAATCACTTCTGCATCTTAAGCATCAACAGAGGTGACTTCAAAGGCATCTGTGTCGGGAAACAAACTCAGAAGAGCTGGTACAGGTGACTGCATTCTCTGGCAAAAGTGAATTATTCTTAAATATCTGTGGTGTATATCATATTGCAAATGCCTCTCATAACTAACCTTGCTGAGTTTAAACCTAGGTCTTGATAGTGGAAATCTGACTGGCATCCCAATGCAGTTTTCCTTTGTGTCATAGGCAGGTCAGCTGAGGCCATACAGAGCATTTTTGCTGCTCTTTCAACCATGGATTTGCTATTTACTATTTTCAGTAAACAGTGCAGGCTCTGGGATCTGCTCTGATGCAAAAAGTTTGTGCCTTGTTTTCAGCGTAGGCTGTGGAACTCTTCCAGCTGGTGTCTGTGAATTAAGAAGAACGCTATTAACTACCACTTATAATCCTGTCTGCCTGCTGTTAAGGGAAGTTCTGCTGTGATGTGTCTAACTCTGGTTGCTCTGGCAAGTCTTAGGACACTGTAGATTCAGAGGAAACAAAGCAGACCTGGTACGCTTCAGTCCTCCTAAGTTTCTCCTAAGGCACTGGGGTTGCTGCTGCTTTGTATACATGCATATATTATATGTGCATATATATGTGTAATATGTGTAACAAAATGTTGTAGTGATGTTTCAGTAGTGTTTTAAGTGGCCATAGATCATGTTAATTGGGTTCAGTTTAGCTGTAATCTAATGCTGTACCCATGCTGAGTTCTGGAATGTGCCAAGATTTTTGGAGTAGTTCCTTCTGTAAGTGTTAGGAATGTTTTCAGGATGACAGATATGTCTCAGTAACTCATATTTCCAAAATGCTTTTGTGTACGTGTCCAATACTACAGTTATTGCTGTGGAGCAACTCTACCCCCATAGTGAAATCCTATTTGATTGCTATGGACATAAAGCTAAAGTGTTGCTGGACAGCATTTCTAAATGGTGATGAACAGAACCACCGTTCTATTTTTGCTTACTGAAAACAAACTCTGTTTGATTTAGCAGCAGAACTGTGGTGATTGAGCTGCTGGAAATGATAATAGGTTTGAAATCTCCTTCAGTGCTATAGTGTTTTCACCTGTTTGTTTTGATAGTAAATTCCAAATGAAATAGACATTTACACCAGGGTAGTCTGCTTTATTGAGTAATTGACTTGTCATTAACCTCCATGTCTCTTTGAAGAAGAAATATATAGGAGAACTATTTGTGTGTATTGGCTAGTGTTTCTAAATCAATAAGCATAGAGTCCTGTTTTGCAGCATCAAGTGAAGCAGTTAATTCTTAACTTGAAACCTGGTTCTAAAGCAATTGCTAGAGCAATTTGCAGTGATGGGGATGCGGATAGTCCTTGTTTCTCTTTCCGTGTCCTACGATCCTTTTTAAAATTCTGTATCTGATTAGCATCTGGATTGTTGGACAATTGATTTCACTAAAACTGAATATTAGGGGATATCCTCTTACTTTGACAGTGTGCCTTGCTGCATGATGGTTTTGAACTCTTTCTAAAAACCACAGTTAGATAGGATGGGTGTGCCAAACACTGAAGTACTAGCAGTGCCTCACTTGAGGACTCAATTCACTGCTTGTATCCCTGTGTTTCTCTGTAAACCCCACAAATATGGAAGGTGACACTCCTCACCACCCCAGCAGTCGTTCCATAACTGTGTTTGCAGTGGACCTGGTATTGTGAGATGTTAGGGCCATACTGTGGTTGGGACTCTTTGCATTGGTTACATTCCTTTTTCAGTTAAGTGTGAACTTGAGTTATCTTGCATGAGGAGGTAAGGATTGTCTTTTCTGGAATGAGTCAAAAAGGAAAAAACACTGGCTCTACAGCCCAGCAGCAGTACTTGGGTAGGCTCCACAGAGGCAGGGGTTCATCCCTGCTGACCTCGAGGAAGGGCCACTTCTCACACCACAGGTTTCCATTTCCTTTTCCTGGGGTCAAAATGATCACAGTATCTTACAGAAAGAATAAAGCTAAGAGTGGATTCTTAGTTGAGTGTTTAGTGGATTTAAGTCATTTATGGGGATGGGGAAGGCAGGACTTTGTATCTGAAAGGCTGCTTTTCTCTAACTTCTGACATGTTATTTGGTGTACTGTTAGCAGTTTCGTAGAATCAAACCAGGGTAGCACATGCAAAGCCTTGTTGAGGTTTGTCTTTTTGAGAAGAGGAGATAATAGAGCAAGAAATGTGTGAGACTGAGTGTGATAAGCAGTAGGGCTAACATATTCCTGAGCTGTGCTTGGAAAGCATGTGACTTGCTATAACTGAATCTTTTTAAGTCTCTCTCCTCTCTTTCTTGCCCTTCACCTCTGTCCCTCCCGTTGGACCTAAAGGGTGATGAAAGGAATGTAGAATAGGGTAAAATACTTTTCTCTTGAACAATCTAGAACTCAGTTTCAATGCTTAGTATTTTCTCCCTGATGAAAGGACACTTTAACATCCTAATGACAGACAACTGTGTGTGTGTGTGTTCCTCTCTTTGAGGTAAGTGTATTGACATCATAAGGCTTCTGCATTTAGTTCCTGGTTTTCTATGGCATATCAAGCAATAACAGAATTTTATTTTATGCTGATTGTAGGAAATGACTGATTTTTGGTTAGCGCTGTGTTGTCAGTTATCATGAAGGTTTTACAGAGTAAAGCTTAAAATAATGTTGTCATGGTGGTCAGTGCATTCTTTAATTTCAATGTGAATGTTACAGTATTGTCACTTTTTTGTTTTCTAGGATGATCTTGCAAAAGGAAGGCCCTCGTTCTCTGTTTAGAGGGCTGGGTCCTAATTTAGTAGGCGTTGCTCCTTCCAGGTAAATACAAACATGTACAATAAATGAAATAATTTTGATGAACTTTAGATTGCTATACATTATTTAGGGGATCTAAGGTTTACTTGAAGCAAGTTTTGCATCAGCAGTTGTAAATAATTAATAGCAAATAACCTTTGGTTCCTGGGGTAATTTCATTGTCAGAGAAATTGAGCCACTCGTACTCTGCAGCTCTAGTTTCACATCCCTGCACTGTCTCAGCACTTAGTATCCTATATGCTACTATAGTAGCATTTACTATTGTGTACTATCCCTTCTGCAGAGTTGTGTCCAGTTAAGAAGGAAAAGGCTTAAGCAGTGGCACATGTAAACAAGAAACTTGTACCTTTGAAAATAAAAAGGTGGAATTTAGCTTTCAGTTAATCCATCATCTTCAGGAAGCAATTGTGTGACTGTAGCCTCAAAACACTGCATCTTTCTTCCTGAATTTTGGTGAAGCACAGACTATTATCCACCCGCAGTAGGAAGCCTGTTCTGAAACTAAAGTGTTAGCTTGAGTTCATTCCAGAAACAGGAGAATACCTAAGGAAGAGTATGGAAACAGAGCTGTGCAAAACTAATATAACTGCTTAATCCTGGATGAGGCTGTAGTTGCCTTCTGGCCTGTTTTTATTCCCTTCTGTTTTGTTTAAGAGAAGAGTCTTTATGCAGAGGGAATATGTTCCACAAAGGTTTTATTCTTCCCTTGATTTAGTATCCTGCTTTTGTTTATTTTTTTGGTCTGAGGAAAAGACATTCCTGTCTCCTGCACACCCAGTTGGAGAGTATTTTAACTTTTCTGGTTTCAGGTCTTTGGATGTTTCTGTAAAATTTTATTAAACTGAACTTTCCAGTCAGCATTGATCTGTCTTCTACTTAGATCTGACAGATGAGGTGTTCTGTAGATCCTCTGCATGAATGTGAGGAAAAACATAATTTGGTAATTGGAGTACTTTTATTTTAGAAGATTTTTTTAAGGAATAAGAATACCTGAGGTTATGATCACCAAGTTAGCATTGCTGTTTGTAGAAACTGAAGTAATTCCAGCAGCTTTCTTTGTTTTTGCTAGTCTGAAGAGTCTGCACTTTTGTTTGATAGTCCAGTCTGGTTGGAATGTTCAACATTGATATTACTTTTTTTTAACAGCAGTTTTTATACCCAATGAATTCTATGTAATAAGTGACTGTCCCCAGTGAAAAATATCCTCAATTGCAAAAAACATTTTATTTTCAGTAAATTTTATGTTGAATCTTGTAATTTTCTTCCCTTCTCCCAGGTGGAATATTTAGCTTGTTTCCCCCTGCCCCATTCTAAATGTCAATTTCGTATAATGTGTGAAGTCTTATTTATAAGCACATCTTCGTTCCCCTCCAGCTGACTGTCTTTACCCAGTACTTCATTTCAATTAAGCATTAGCTAAGTGGATTTAACAGCAGCTCTTTGTTTAAATAAGCTGTAGAGAAACATGTTTCATAACACATCCAGTATACTTAACTGATTTCAGGTTCCATTTTAGAAATTACACCCATGAAGCAAGCACTTTATCTTTTTTATAATAAAGAAAAACATGTTTGCACAGCTAATAAGGTTAAATGTTCTGTTCCTGAAGACTTGCATGTTCATTTTTTCTCTTGTAGAGGTGTGTGTTTGTAAGCTTAACTGAGTTATTACCTTAAATGTGAGTTTTAGATATGCTTAAAATAAGTTTTTTAGCTTTAATGAGTGAAAACAGACATTTTTCATATGTTGCATTGACATGCTGACTTTTACGTCTAGCTTTGTTTTGGTACGAGCTCACAGACTTTAATGTAGTACAAGTTAACATTTTTTTGTAGGGTATTCATAGAAAAAAATGTTTATTGTAAGTACAGAACTAAAGAAAAAATGCAGTTCCCATCTTCACAGATGTTCTAGTATTTAAAATATAAATATTTATAATAAACTGCTAGTTATGAAGTATATCCACAAGTTATCAATATTTACATCTTAAATGCTAGACTAATATTATAAATATTAAGTGTGCTGTTTGGTTTTAAAAATTGCTACGTACTTGCTAGTTCTCTTAAAATTGTTATGCTATTGAAATGAGTTTAGGTCCATTAGAACAAATGTGATGTGTTATTCAGAAGTACAGAATACTGTAATTTCAATTCTCAGTTCAGCAGTGCTTTCCTTCCCTGGCTAGACCTCCTAGTGTCACAGAAGTCACTGCCATATTTCTGCTTATCTATCCTTCCTAATTGTTAATTTGAGCTGCTGTAGAAGAAAAAGTTGTAATATAATCTTTTTTTTTCTTTTCCTAGAATAGTCCCACTACTTTGCAAGATTTATTCCTTGAGTAGTATTTTCCTAAGTAAGACTTGAACCAAGGTTGTCTTGAGTTAGTCAAGTTAATGGCACTGCTTTCAGGGGTATTGACACATAGAATGTAACATAACTTGGATTTTGTTCTAATTTTAGAGCAATATATTTTGCTGCTTATTCAAACTGCAAGGAGAAGTTGAACAATATTTTCAGTCCAGATTCTACACAGGTACACATGATTTCAGCTGGTGTGGCAGGTAAGGATCTGTAACTTTTTAGCTTCATTCTAGAGTCATATCTACAAATGAGAGGTGACAATAAATACAAAACCCCGAAACAAACCAGAAAATGTTCAGTGATTGAATTATCTTTTTGTAATGGTTACCTTCTTTGGCCTCTCATTAAACAAGCTATCTGGAGAATATGTGCATGAAACTTTGCACCTGGTGTTAATGAAGATCTTTAACTGTGTGTGTGTGAATAGCCTTTTCTAGGAAAACATGCATGCCTGCTTTCTCAATTGTAAATTTGTGAAATGTAAAATGAAAACTTTCTAATTAGAGAGTAACTTCACTCTCCAAGCTATAAACAAGATTGTTTGCATTGACCTCTGGCTTAATGCTTCTTAATCTACATTTTTTACTATCACTTTCTGTTACAGCTTTGTATATCTGACTTATTTTTGTCTTTCTGAAATACACCTGCAGATATTTGTATAAATTAGATGTAACACTACTTTCTCCTTTGTTCAGAGGCTAGTCAATGTGAAGTTTGCTCTACCACTAAAGTGACATAGAGAAGATTTCTGTAGTTTTCATATATTTTCATCTCTGGAAATAAATTCCTATTTTATATCTACAGTGTAACTTTTGTCTGTTTTAGCAGCTACCAATATTTGTTGCTTGATTTATATGTACTGTGCTTTGGGACGGTTAACAAGGGGAGTTAAAGGCAACTGTGCTGCGTTATGGTCATAGACTTGTGGACAAAAGTCATGGACAAAAACAAATTCTCAAGTTTTTTTTCTCATATAGGCTGTAGATACTTCACAGATGAATTCTGACAATTTTGTGGTAGCCTGTAGAAGCTTCTAATTGCTGTCAAATTTTGTAATCATTGTATATAGTGTGAGTACTGGCAAGTTGGAATAGACTGCCAAAGGTGGTGTCAGAATAATGAATAGGATTAGTTTTCTATTTAATACTTGCTAATAATCTAATACAAAGAAATTGTTATATATCATAGGAAATTTAAGTGACATTAGCTTTATACTTAAATAACGCTAATCTGTAGCACATGGGAAATGTGATGGCAATGTTTAATGTTCTTAGAGGTGTAAGAAGAACCATTTTGTCTTAAATGGGCAAAGTAAGGTGCTCAGACAATGCAGTATTTTTTATCACCTGGATGTGTTTTGTTTGTAGGTGAACATCATGGGGAATGGGATGGAAGGGGATTTGATGAAAAGATCGCCCTAATCAGTTAATTGCTCCAAGAAAAATTGTCTTCAGCTCTTTGAGGGAATAAAATGTGTCTATTTTGGGGGGTGGGAAGGAAGTATGGATAATAGAAACAAGTCCATCCTCAGTTAAAGACAACTTGTGCAACTCATGCAGTGTTGCAGACAAAGGTTCAGAGTGTTTCTTATTTTTGGAAGTTACTCATTGTGTAATGAAAAGAACATTTATGGAGATGTGCAGTAGTGACTTCTCCCAAGTGCTTGCAGACACACTGTGGTTTGTCAAGGAGTTCTGGATCTGCTTATTAACTAGCTTCCCTTCCACTTAAAACTGCAGGAGAGAGAGTGGGATAAATGTTTTTGAGCCTTACTGCTGTTAGCCTTTTTTACACTTGTATACAAGTTTTAATATTGAACAACTTTTGTGGCTGAAACTTTCTTGCACTTACGTAGTTCTGCAGTTGTATTTCTAAACCACGTGACACCGAGTGTCCAGTGCAGGTTCACACTGCAGCTCACAGCATTTTCTCCCTGAAATGTCTTGGCACTGTAAACTACAGATGTTCTCTGGAAGACTTTTAAAGAAGGTTCCTTGACAAACAATTTGTTGATACTCAGTAGTGACGGTATTCTGATTTCTATGAAAAGGACTCTAGTTAAAACTGACCACAGTGCTTTCCTGGGAACGTGCTAACCTTCTTTTTGTAATATTTCAGAAAATGCACTTAAACCAGCTAATAAGTTTTACCTGCAAGGTTTGTATTGCTATATGATGCAGATCAGCTTAAGGAAATAGCAAAATAACAGGGACAAGATTGAAAGTGAACTCTTAATTGGTTGACTTAAACAGGTTAATAAGAAGATCACTGTATTATTTGCTCTGGAACTTAGGATTTCAAAGTTGGCAAGGTGGATAAACACTTCTAATAATTAGCAAAAAAAATAATCAGTATTGGTTTTCTTTTGCAGCTGCCATTGGTTTCAGTAAGGAATTGAGTAACTCAGTCTTAAATGAGGGTTTTTATTCGTTTGGATATGACCTTTCTATTATGTAAAGGCTTCTAATACCTAATGAGCATGAGGTGGTGTTTGCACTTATAAAGCTTTTCCTGTAGGTTGCAAAATACAATATGATGCAAAAATACAATTTAAAAAAAACACCTTAATTTGCTGTTTTATGGAAGTACTGTAAGTAGTGAACTTTAGTCAACTTCAAATACTGTTTGCTTGTATCATATATTAATACATATCCTAGGCTAGACTGATTGTTAAATAAGGATTATTTTATGCAAATAGCATTTTTTGGGATTGAGAAGCTGAGATAAGGTATTTCTATCATTTTTGTTTGGTTTTAGGCCTGATTCTTCCTTCTAAAGATAAAACATATTTTTGGTTTTAAGACTTTTATTAAGGTTGTTTTATCCCAAGGAGGATGAATTACAGTACATATTAGTAACTGATGCCTTATGCAATTGGAAATTAATGTTTTTCTCTTGCTGTGTGCTAGCTTCCAGCATATAATTGACATCAATTTAGTACCTAAAATATCTGTATATTAACACAAAGAAGAACTTAGCAATCTTTTTTGCATACTACTTGGCATATCACATGGTTCTCTTTCTGCAAACTTTGGCAGTGAATATGTCTGAAGCATACTCCAAGAATGAGAGAGTTTCCTTGTGTGAAGATAGTTTCTCTTTACATTTCCAAGTTAGGCTAAATTCTCAGATTCACTGTAAACTCTGCCTTCTCATTGCATTGCAGTCTCTTTTGCCACAGAGAATTAAAACTGCAGAGAACTGAATGAGATACTTGTTTCCTGTAAGGCTTTCTGATTTGCCTTTTTAATGATTCATAGCCTCATTCAGACAACATGGTTGCAAATCTGCTGCAAAACTACTTTGCCTTGTATACTATTGCTGTTCTTTCTAGAACCCTACTGGCAAACCAACCCAAGTGTAGATTTTTGGTTTTTAAATTAAAAAAATTGGGACCACTTTATTACTTACAGAGCTACCATACTTTTTAGTGGTATGTGCACAGTTACTTGATACCAAATAAAATGCGTACTTAGTTCGTTGATTACTGATACTAGAAAGTTTGATTTCATAAGGCATCTGTCTTACTTTGAGTCCTAAGACAAGGCTAGCTTTTTAAAATGGTATTTGGGAGGGAGTGGGGAAGAAGGAGGGTTCACTTGTCAATTTGACATATAGGTAAGTATTTGAGAGATACAAAATTGAACTGCTGCAAATGAGCAGAAATTTCAGTACTCAGTGCATTTTGCACAACTTTTAATATCTGTGGCCTGTTCTCATTATTTTTCTTTCTTTTTTTTTCTCTAAACTTTTACCTGAAAACAGTTAGATCTCACAATAACTAATACACAAATCCTTCCAATGGGATTCGATTTGTACACATGTGTCTGATGAGGTCACTGCTTGTTGTTATGATACAGAAAAGCCTGTGTCTATTTTAGGCATTTACTGTACATTTCTCCCGTGAAAAGAGTGAGATCGTGTCATCTCATGCTCCCCATCCGCAGGTCACTTCCTGCAGAAATATGGACTAACTTAAACCTCGTGAGTACTGAACTGAGCGTCTCTTGCAGCCTCTAGTGTAAGAACCACACATTGGGTTTGTAATATCTATTTAAACAAAATAAGGGGAATTCACTTTCATTATCTTGAATGCAAATGATGTGCATTGTGCCAAGACATCGCTTCTCCTTAGCTCTCTTAAGAATTATCTTTTTCTGTGCAGTTCAGGGAAAGGTGGAAAATACCTTTCACTGACAGCTGCTACTTTACTTAGCTCTGGCTAATTGGAAGTCCCTACTGGGTTAAACAAGGCCTTTTGGGTTTTTTTCAGTGTCCCAGAGCTGCCTTTAAAATGCTGCAGCTGATAGTCTGTTGTCGTCACATTATTTCAAAGGCCTCTTCTCTTTTTCTTTTTTTAATATGTATATAATCTCCTTTCTGTCTCTTTCTGTTTTCTCTTTTGGTTTGTTTTTGTTTTACTACTTTGGATTTTTAATTCAGCATTCCATATTCACGTGTGTGTGTATCAATTTCATTGGCTTATAGATTAAAAAAAAGACCTAACCTTTGAAATGTGATGCATAATAGGAATACCTGGGATCTTACCTGTCAGTAGTTGCTATAGCTGAGAAAGTAGATTGGGATAATGCTTTCCATCTGAAACTGGGATAGAATTTCAAAGGAGAAAATAAAGCATAGAAAAGAACAGGAGTTTCTGGTATTGCCAATTTGATCTACACTTCTAATGAATCTGGAGTCTTTCTTGAGGATACAACACATTGATAAGCATTGTAAAGCATTATAAAGTTCACTGAGACTTGGGGGAAAAAAAAAACAAAACCCTGAACAATTGATAGAGCTTTAGAGCTAGAGCTTTAGAGTAGTTGTTGAAAGCCCCCCACCTTTATTTTTAACCAGTACTTTTGCTACAGATTTTTGTGTTTAAAAATAAAAGCTTATCTATGGAAGATCCCAAATGGGATGTTGCATGTTCTAGAGTGCTTTCCTTGGTGTCAGCATCACTCGACTCTTATTTTTCTTCTTCCACTAACTGTATTTACTACATTACCTGTAAGAACTCAGCTGTAGTCTTTTCATCCTGAAACCTCAATTATTGAAGGCTCTTTCATTTGAAACCTTTGGTGCAAACTGTCATGCTATTTTAGGCTTATGATAGCCTAAAAAATATAGCTATGCTGCTAAGTGTCTGATCCTACTGTTAGGGATGCTACACTTAATGTTTAGAGCAGCCCAGGGGGTGCAGGTTTGGACAGAATTGGTGCCAATTGCCCTCCACTGGCGATTTCTGATATATTCTTCCCAGCCTGCCTGGAAGTAATAGGCTGCTGCTGTGGGTGAATACAGTCACTGCTGCCACTCAGACGCTGCCTCTGATCTCACCTATGTATTTCCTGTTCCAGATTCAGGATCTACAGAGATCATTTTTGGGGTTGAATAGGAAGGAGAAGGGGCTGAGCAGATAATGCTGTAATGTACAGTCTATTAGTAACCAATTTCCAAAGCATGCAACTTTGGGCTTTTTCACTTGTAATTAAGAACTAGGAGACACTTAAGAGCTAATTTTGGGTTTTTTTGGAGAGAAGTCTTTCTTGGAAAATGTGTTGTTAGGAGAAGTTAGTAATTCTTCCCCACCTTATTTTAAAGAATTTGTTGCAGTCCTGTGCATTCTTAGTGCCCTTCACTACACTACAAGATAAAGAAAGACTCTGATTTTGAAGTAAGAGAAAATTAAAGCTTTCTTAGTGCTAGCATAAAGAAATAAAATGCAAGAACAATGGTTCTTTTCAATTTAGTTCAACCCCGGGTTAAGCGCTGCTGGAATCAGTGGAGTTTGTGGCATTAAGTGACAGGTCAGCAGGGCTCTGCCTAGTTGAACTGCAGAAACTTTTTTGCAGATGTGGTATGTTTTAAAAACATATCTTGCCTTTTGATGACAGAGTAGTTCCCTAATGGTTTGAGTTTTTACATAATTATTTGCCTACATGAAATTCAAATTTAAAACACTTTTGGCTTGTTAAGATTTCACTCCATCATATGAAGGGTCATAGATGTTCCTAGACATGGAAAAAAATGGGTAGTATACCAAAAACAAGCCAACCCCAAATGTTTATTATCTACCACAGGAAGTTATTTAGCTAAGATTTGGTTTTGCTGTTTTGGTACAGAAATATAGCTAAATCTTAGTAGCTGCTAAACCTTGTAGGTTGTCTTTAGAACTGTAACTGAAAATCATAATGGCCTATTTGGGAGTGGGGGTAGAACAAATCTTAAAACAGTTAAGATCCTCTGGCATTTCTCTGAGTATTGCCGTCATTTGTGTGCAATGTAAACCTAGATTGTCATTGAACAGAAGTAACGTATGCAGGCAGTTCTGCTAAATATACATATGTAAGCTGTTACTGAGCTCCATAAACAAGCTTATCAATAGCCTGTTCGTTGTATAAGTATTGTGCATCAGATTGCACTGAACAAGGTAACTCTGTTGCTTTCCCACAACCCCTGTCCATTCCCTTGCAGGAGGGCACCATGTCTTTGTAGTGATCTACAAGTGATGTGTGTCACTTAGAAAGCAAGTGTCTAAATTTATCATCTCTTGCCTGGCCATGTTCCAGCTCTTCCCTTTTCCTCTTCTCTCCTGCAGACGTGACACCTCATTGATGGTGCATGTGTGGTATTACAATTCTAGATGGTTTTTTATTTTACCTTTTTTCAGAGCTGCCTTTCACTCTGCTCTTTTTCTCTCCACGGTTGTGCAGAAGTAAGAGTGCTTCTTACTTCTTTTCTTTCTTTTTTTTGTTTATTTCCTTTTCTCTTTTTCTTCCTTTTCTTTTCCTTTAGTGGACTGGAAATCTAAGCTTTAACCTTTAGACCTTATGCAAGCCCAAATAGTTGCTGTTTTGATAGAAGTCATACCATTTACTTTAACAATTTAAACACTCATATGCTTGTAAATGTATTCTTAGGCCAACCAACAATCCCTGGTTTGAATACTAAATAAAACGTTAGTGCTCAAATTTAACTGTTCTTTAGAGTTCAGTATTAAAAGATCTCTTAACTTGCAGTATTATATGCCTTTTAACTGCACCAAGAGTAGTATTTATTCAGTCTGCATGCTTTTAAACTCGGATTGTATTTCAGGTAGCAAATTAAATTGACACAATGTTATATACCTTCTCAAATTTCTATAGCTGTATCTGGAATGTACTCTTATTGGCATGTTTGCCAAATTGGCTAATATTAGTTTAGCTTGGCTGTTCTATTGGTGTCAAAACAGGGTTAGTATGATTAGATAGGCAGAGAAATGTACACAATTGGGCTTATTTTATATGGGGTGTCTTTTGTGAAGAATCAATCTTAATATTAATGTAAAATTTTAAAAATAAGCTAATTGTTTATTGGCTGTATGGATTCATAAAATATCAGTAAAGGGCTACAATGGGTGTTTTTTAAAAATCAGTATAGTCCGAGTTTTTGCATCCACTGTACTGTGTGCGTTTTGAACTTAGGTGCGGTTGCTCTTGTGGAACTATCATATCTAACTTTTCTTTTTTAAATATTTTAGGTTTTACTGCAATCACAACAACTAATCCCATTTGGCTAGTAAAGACACGATTACAGCTTGATGCAAGGTAAGAATCTTTGTATTAAGAGAAGCTACTAGTGACGATGGGAAATCTCCCTGCTGTGGTAAGATTTCACTTAAATGTTGTGAATCTATTCTGCATCCCAAAATGGCACAATTCTTTAAGTATCTGGCATGTCAAATTAAAAGTTGATGCTGATCTGTCTACAAGCTGCACTATAATTTTTCTCTGTTTTAATCTCTGTGTTCTGATATGCTTGAGGCACTATAGTAGTCTGGCCAGCAAATTTGGAATGAATTACAAGATTAACAGTCTCATTAAAATAATGTTCTACAAATCATATGCTTCCATTTTGCTTCAGTAATCCATTTTCTTGGCTTTTAGCTGTTGAGCTAAACATTCCTGAAATAAGGATTTAAGTATTTTAGCGAAAGTTTAGAAAAATGCCTGAAACAACACGATTTTCACTTTTTACATACAGTGAGCTCTAAGCTATAAAAAGGGGAAGGCTGCTTTCATGGATTGAAACACAGTGTCCTAATGTGGGATAGTCAATAGAAGTTGTTTGGATTTATTACAGAAACTGTTTATTATTACAAAACTTGTAATGAAGTAGAATTTTATTGAAATAGGAAGAAAGACTTTTTTATTCCCATCTATTTAAAACTGTAGAGAGACTGATGTGATGCAAATGTTTCAATGCAACTGTTGTGTTCACTTTATAGGCTTTCTTACTGAAAATTTAGCATGCAATATAAAAGTCTTCAGTCATCCTAAATGTATTAATGAGACAAATATTCCTATTTTTGATATCTCTTTGACTTTCTGTATTAGGTGTGTGCTAGCATTTTTCCTCTTCTCAGGCTTATTGTCAGCTGCAAGGTGACCACAGTAAATACATCCCAGAACTAGTTTTACTGAGATTTTTTTTTCTGTGATGCCACTGTATGATTGGGGTCGTAATTCCATGACTAATTCCAAGGGAGTTTTTGGTGCTTTGTGCAGCATGATAGCATCTTGTGCTCTTGCCTGTTTTTTACTGATAATCAGTTAAATTGCTTCAAGTATAGGTGTCTTGGTGTCAGGACCACCAC